ACATGTTGATGAGATGATGGATAGTGTGTTTGGTGGAATTAGGAAGGGGCTCAGAGCTAACAATGCTCAATTTGAGGCTGTTGCTGTTAAAACCCCGGTAAAAACTGTGTTGAGAAGAAAGAAAAAAAAAGAATAATAACTAAAAGAAAGTGATTTGGATTTCTTTTATTTTCATTTCTCCTCACCTGTGAGAAAAGTTGGAGGTAGCTTTATTTCCATATAGTTAAGATGTTGAGTGGTCTAATCTGGAATTGCAGAGGGATTGGAGACAAAAGGAAGAAAGATTTCATTAAAGAACATATTGATAAACATAGTCTAGATTTTGTAGGTATACAAGAAACAATGAAGACATAATTCAACCGTCTAGAATTATCTGGCTTAAGTGCTTCAGAAAATTTTGATTGGGATTTTCTGTCATCTAGAGGAAAATCTGGAGGGATTTTAGTAGGGACTAATACTGCCACTCTTATCAAAGAAGAAGTGGAGCTAGGAGAATACTTTGTTAAGATAAAAGTGAGAAACATTAGGGATGTGTTTTGCTGGGATCTGGTTGTAGTGTATGGTGACGCTCAACCAAAAGGCAAACCAAAATTCCTAGTGGAATTGGTTCACATTTTCAAAAAATCAAAAAATCCTATGCTGGTAGGGGGAGACTTTAATATGATTAGGAAGGACAGTGACAAAAACAAATCTGGTGGTTATAACAAATGGAGCATGCTTTTTAATTCAGTAATTACTTATGGGGAAATGATGGAACTGCCATTAGTGGGGAGGAAATACACCTGGTCCAATAATCATGAGGACCCCACCTATGCTTTATTGGACAGAGTGTTAATCTCTCCCACATGGGAAGAAAAATATTCTTTGGTGTACATTGAAGATCTACCTAGAGAGTTCTCAGATCATACTCCACTGCTCATTAAAACTGGCAATGCACCTCTGAAATCTTCTGTTTTCAGGTCTGAAAACAGTTGGTTTCAAAGGCTAGGTTTGGATGAGATAGTTAGGAATGTATGGGAGAAAAAATTCCCTGGGAGATCCACTTTAGACAGACTTCATAATAAACTTAAAGAACTTAGGAAAGTGCTGAAAGGATGGAATCTCAATAATGAAGCTATCCTAAGGAGGCAGAAAAAAGAATTAATGGAGGAGCTGAATAGATTAGACAAAAAAGGAGAAGAAGACAATATTAGTGATGAAGATAAAGAAGAAGAAAAAAGGAAATGTCAAGACGCTTTGAAGGAAATTCTTAAAGAAGAAGAAATCAAATGGCTTCAGAGATCTCATGACACAGAGCTGTTTGAGGGAGATGCTAATACTAAGTACTACCATGCTAAGGCAAATGGCAGACTTAGAAAAAACAGAATCATTAAACTTGTGCAAGATGAAGAGGTGATTGAGGGATAGGAGAATCTGATGAAATATACCACTAACTTCTACAAAGAACTTTTTAATGAATCTGAGATTAAATCTTTAAACATGGACCCCAGTGGTGTGGAGACACTCACTGCCAAAGAGCAGGAATTCCTTGTAAAGGAATTTACAATGGAAAAACTGAAAAAGGCTGTTTTTGAGATGGAAAAAAATAAGGCTGCTGGTCCAGATGGTTTTAACATTGAGTTTTATCATCATTTCTGGGATCTGGTTAAAAGAGATTTGATTGCATTGCTTGAGGAATTTTATGAACATAATTTAGACCTGGATAGGCTGAACTATGGAGTTATTTCTCTTTTACCTAAAGGGAGTGATGCTGACAAGATACAAAAATATAGACCTATTTGCCTCCTAAATGTTATCTTCAAGATAATCACCAAAATCTTGGTGAATAGATTGATTGTAATAATTTCTGGACTAATAAGAGCTTCTCAAACTGCTTTCATAAAGGGGACGTATATACTAGAGGGGGTGTTGGTGTTACATGAAACCTTGAATACTATGCATAAAACAAAAAAAATCAGGAGTACTTTTTAAGATTGATTTTGAGAAGGCCTTTGACAAGGTCAAATGGCCTTTTCTTTTTCAAACTCTTAAGATGAAAAAAATTCCCTGATAAATGGATTAATTGGGTGATGAAGACAGTAATGGGGGGAAAGGTAGCTGTTAAAGTAAATGGAGAAAATTGATCTTATTTCAAAACACATCAGGGATTGACACAAGGTGACTTGATGTCACCTTTGCTTTTCGATCTTGCGGTGGATAATCTAGCTATCATGTTTGACAAAGCTTTTGAGGGGGGGGGGCTGATAGGCGGCCTTGCCAAAAATAATAAAGATAATGATGTGTGCATTTTGCAGTACGCGGATGACACCATTCTCCTCTTCCAAGATGATTTGAAACAGGCTAAGAATGTCAAAAGAATCCTAAGTTTATTCGAAATCATGTCAGGTTTAAAACTTAACTTTCACAAGAGTGAAGTGGTGTGTGTAGGATTGGAGGAAGATAGAATTAAACTTTTTGAAGAGATTCTCACTTGCAAAAGAGGGAGCCTTACGTTTAAATATCTTGGAATACCGGTGGATCAGCACAGACTGAAAAACATTGATTGGAATCCTTCTGTTAATAAAACAAAGAAAAGAATGGGGGGTTGGTTGGGAAGGTTTCTTAATATGGCTAGAAGGACAACTCTTATTAATTCCTCCTTGACCAGTCTAGTCCTCTTTATGATCTCCTTTTATGGGTTACCAAAAGGAGTTAAAAAAGGATTGGACAGACCCAGAGCTAATTTTCTTTGGAGTGGAGAAAAAAAACAGAAATATCATTTAGTTGCTTGGGAAAAGGTATGTAGACCAAAAGAACTGGGAGGATTAGGGATCTTAGATTTGGATTTCATGAATATTGCTTTGTTGTCTAAATGGTTGTGGAAACTTTTTAATGAGGAAAGCTTATGGCAAAGCTTGTTATGGAATAAATACATAGGGAATTTCACCTTTGGGCAGGTTGGTAAAAAGCAAGGTGATTCGCATTTTTGGCAGGGGTTGCTGAAATGCAAAAACCTGTTCCTAAACTGTTGCAGATTTAAAGTAGGGGGTGGGAGGAAAACTAGATTTAGGGAAGACATATGGAAAGGAAACAAAGTCTATCTGATACTTTCCCTAGTCTATATAATGTCTCTCTAAATCAAAACATTACTGTATATGAACCCATTTCTTCCAACTTGTCTATTCTTCAATTCATAAGAGCGCTGGTGGGGGAAAGAGCAACTTAATGGCAAGATCTGGTAGAAATATGCAGGCAGGTCAAGTTAACCGAGGAAAAAGATAAACTACACTGGATCCCTGATAAATCTGGGATGTTTAGTATGAAGTCTTTCTACTCTATTTTACATGTGGGAGAAAAATGGCCCAACAGATTCCTATGGAAAGTTAAAATCTCCCCGAGAATCCAAACTTTTATCTGGTTGGTCTTGAAAAAAAGCATACTAACTAGAGATGTTTTGTTACATAGAGGGGGGAAATGTGAAGAGAAATGTCTTTTTTGTAATGAAAAAGAATCAATCAACCATTTATTCTTTCGATGCCCGCTTGCCAGATATATGTGGAACGTGGTCAGTTACTGCACTGGGCTTCAATGTGACTTCAGTGATATGGACACATGTATACATGGTTGGCTTGAGGGTTTTGGGACAGAGAATAAGAAAAAAAAAAGGTTTTTGTTGGGGTGGCCGCTATAATTTGGAGTATTTGGAAAGCTAGAAATTTAGCATGTTTCCAACGCGTGTGGCCTGCTGATCATAGTGTTTTGATGTTCAGGATGACGCACTGGATTAATGATTGGAGTTTTTTGCAGGTGAGGAAGGACGCGAAGGTGGAGTTGCAACGGGGCGCAAAGCTACTGGATCGAGTCGCCAGTGATATCTTCCAATCAAGACGAGGGTGGGCGACCTGGGTGCCCAGACTTGAGAACTGCTGAGGATGAGATCATGGAAGTTTGTAATCCTAGAATGTAGATTGTGTTGAGCTTGCATGCTCTTACAGACAGCTTGTGAAAAATCTGTGGTAACCTGGTTTCCTTTTGTGTAATAAGGTAGACAGGGGAGGGAGAGAAGTGGGTTTTATATCCCTTCGCCTATGCGCTGTGATGAAAATGGTGCATAGGGCCGGATGGAGTGTTATGCGCTCTCGTAGTGTGCATGTTTTTAGTAGGGTTTCGTGTTGAGGGGTTGTGGTGCGTTTTGGCTGTACCAAATTACTACTTGGTTTTGTTAATGAAATCGGGGAGAAGATCCCTTTCTTTCAAATATATACACACACACACACACACACACACACACACACACACACACACACACACACACACATATATATATATATATATATATATATATATATATATATATATATATATTGACGACTCTGCCAGAGTAGTTTTTTCCGACCAAAGTTTATCTTATCAATGGTTATTATGGTGATCAAGCCCATATAGCGGCTCAGTCAAAGTTGCTCAATCAAAACAGAAATAGCGCGTCGGAGAAGAGCAGAGGAGAGGAGTCGTATGGGCGACGAGTTACCAAACTGATCGACTGATGAGTCGGTGGAGTCAAATCATTTGCGTTTTCTATCATGAATTTGGCAAAGCCGAACTTCTACTCTCCAATCTGCTAGACCACCGACTACTAATACAGCAGCCGACTCGAAGTCTCGGTACAAAATTGTATACGCCGATCCTTCCGATTAGCCACCGGGACGCGGTGCCGAGGCCCGAAGAGTTCAACTTTGCACGGCGCCGTCCCCGCGAAGACAGACTGCTCTGGTCTGGTCTCACGCGTCGTCGCTGCCCATGACGCCAGCCCGAGGCTTGAACGTTCCAGCTGTTGCCTACCTCAACCGACGTTTAGAAAATCGCCTTCCCGCTATAAATACCAGGCTCCTCGCCCGTCCCAATCCACAACTCAACAGCCTCTCCACTCTCCACTCTCCACACCAGAGCCCAAGCATTCGCTTCCCGTCGTCTCCTCTCCTCTCTCGATCTCAGTGAAGTTTTCCGCAACCAACAGCAGCCAGATGGCTCGTTTCGCCGTGGTCGCGGCCATCATCGCGGTCCTCGCCGTCGCCGCCACCGCTCAGGGCCCCATGCCGGCGCCCAGGATGGCCCCGCTCCCCGCACCGCCGGCGAGGTCCCCGGCCACCGCCCCTGCGCCGGTCGCCACCCCGCCCACCGCCGCGTCGCCATCCCCGATGGCCTCGCCCCCGGCCCCGCCCACCGACGCGCCGACCGACGCTCCCTCGGCGATGACGCCGTCCGCAGTCTCCGCCACACCCACCGGCGCCCCCACCAGCGCCCCCGCGAGCTCCGCCGTGTACTCGTCCGCCGCCAGCTTCGTCGCCGTCGCCGGCGCGGTCGCCGCCGCCATCATGTTCTAGATGGACGGAGGATCGTCGAGCTGATCTTCGATGTGCCGCCGCCGTGTGGCTCCGAGTCTGTCCCACCGTTGTTTATACTCCGACGAGATTCTTTTTCGGTTCTCTTTGTTGAGCTGGGGAGTGAGTTATATGTAACACCGCCGTGTTGCGCTACACATGCGCCAGATTATTATCATTAATAGAATTCTTTCATTTGTTACCTGATTCATCTCCGCTCCTGGACGCATGCATATGTTCTCCATTAACTCGGTCCGATTAACCACAACCGCAAAAATGGCAAGAAACCCTAATCTGCAACGTTACACGACTACGTGCTCTGTTCGAGCAGTTTGCTCTGCCGTGTGGAACTGCGAATTCCCATCCCACCCATCTACGGATCAGGGGCCTACCTCTCTCGGTGACGTGAATCTGTGATGCGGCGTGGTACGGGGATCAAAAAGCTAAGCTAGGACGACAACGGTAAACCGATGAGAGTTGCCGTTGCGTTGCGTTCTCGATTGGGTCGGCAGGACCAAAGCCATGTGCAGAGCTCTGTTTTCTTCTCGATCGGCGCAGGCGAGGTCACATGGTCGCATGCGCCGTTGCCTGCTTGCTTTTGTTTTTCATCCATCATCTCTTCTTTTCTTTGCGTCCTGATGCCATGCCATGTGACCTGTTTTGGTCTGCGCGCTTCAGCTGCGAGCTAGCTGGAAATTTCTGGACTCCAATAGCGAAAACTCGCTTTTGCTTTGGCCCATTTTGGGAAGATATCTGCAAAGATTGAAATGTGCAGAACACGCTTCTGCTTTGGCCTGCGACGTAAATTGATTTCTGCGCGTCTGAGATGTAATTTGTTGCGGCTGGCAATGCTCTACGTCGTTGGACCAGCGCAGGCTCCCGGCCGGTCACATATACACTGCCCAATTCATGGCTTCCTAGCCATTAGATCCAGCCTCCTAGTTTGTCCTCCCCGTATCACTCGAGATCCCCCAAACAAATGTGTCAACATGCATAAAATGAAAGCGACGACGAGCATCACGACCGCCCATGAAAGCACCTTATCCTACACGCATGCCCCCATCTCGCCCGCATGCATATCTCTCGTGGTGCTCGTCGGCGCTGGCGCAACATTGCCCTACCAGTCGCTCGACCCCATATCATCCCAGCATGTACGCCAACGCAATTGCTGCACCTACCCCAATCACGTTCGTAGCATCGCCGCCACGGGCTTGTAGCACCCGTCGTCGTGACTTTTAGCAGCTCGCCCGTCCTTGGCACTGTCACATGCATGCATACTGCTCCCGGCTTGCACCATCGTCTTCTCAGCTGACCTCCCCCCTCGCCTTCGTTGCAGCAGCCCTAGCAAAACATGACGACAATTGTAGCAAAACGTGACGTCGATTATAGCAGGGTGTGATGTGGGTTGTAGCAAAAACGTGCTGCCGGTTGTGTAGTGTGCGACACCAAGTGTAGCAAAACCCAAAGCATGTGGTAGCAGAGTATGACGTCGGTTGTAGCATAACTGGACGCCGGTTGTAGAAGGATCGCAGCATCGTTGGGGCAGGTACCAGCATCCCCAACTACTGGTCGCAGCATACCAAGGTGCGGTCCAACATCCCCATCTACCGGTTCCAGCACCTTATCACCATCGTTCCAGAAAAACCCCACAACTCGTAGATGCACCATGCGTGCTGATTCCAACACATGGTCTACTCGGTTGTATCATCCAGACCCATGGTTCTAGCATGTCGGCCCGACGATCGCAGCAACCGTCAATCGCGGTTCCAACATTTGTCTATGGCAGTTCCAGCATCATGGCATCGTTTTGTAGCTACTCGCCTTGTCGTATGCAGTTACACCAGGCGCCGGTAACAGCTCGCCACCGTGCCACACAACCCTTGCAGCACCGCGCCATTTCCTATGTCCCGTGTGCCCAGCCGGCCTTGCAGCAACTCGAAGCATAGTCATGGCGGGGGTCGCTGGGAGGAAGAGAAGGTGCGCTGGGGGAGATAAAGCTGTGGAGAGGAGGTCGTCGGTGTAATGCCGAAGCATGGGGCCATCGGAGAGAGATAAGCGAAAGAGGCACAAGAACTCATGTTCAACCATGGCGGAGCAGAGCGGGAGAGATAGACAGGATGGACTGGGCCAACTCTTGGGAAACTAAGTGGCGAGGTTGTTCGATGGAAGAGACAAGAGGGGATAGAGTGGTGTGAGCGTCACTTAGCTTCCTCTCGAGCATTTGATCTCGCCAGATCAGATGGCACGCGCGATCGGCACGAGCGCCTGCCCAGCCGGCCGGTCATGAACGTTTCCCATATCTTAAATAGAAGACCAAAACTTGACTTTGAAATCATAATGGACCGCACCACCAACCCCTGAAAATACTAACAAAACTCATCAAATCCATATGAGTGAATCTGCAACGACAAAAATCTAACATCCGCAAGGTCGGACACACCTAACCTGCAGAGATACAAATTCTCTTGCTTTGTGCCACCACCTAATAAGATTTCATCACAGTAGAAGAAGAACCATAATATCTTTATTCTCGAGGCCATCACACCCTTCACTAGGATGCTATGAACGAAAACAAAAAATATCACGCTAATGGATTTTTTAGGGGTTGCCAAACCCTTATTGATCAATGCAAACGTTCATAGGGATACAAGTTGGGTCATGAGGATTGGTAAGTGATGGAGTCGATTCCGTCGAATCTCGGGTAAGGGGTCCCAGACTAGAAGCCTAAATGCGATGGTAACATGGACACTCGGTTTTACCCAGGTTCGGGCTCTCTAGAAGAGATAATACCATACGTCCTGCTTATGTTTGTATTGATTTGGGATGGAGTACAAAGTACATATGATCTACCACAAGATTGTTGTGTGTCTAGATCTAATCATCTGAGTTGTCATAAGATAACTTATCGACTAGCCCAACCCTGGTTTATATAAGTTACCAGAGGCCTACGATCAAGGTTGGAAAAAGCGGTAGGCGTAAGCAAGGCGGTTGGCCTTCGCCTAGTGCCTAGGCGGTGCCTAAGCGCCCTAGCGCGGCCTAGGCGGTAATATAGTTTTTACTCGTAGTGTATTTGTGATTATTATATGGGTGTTGATCTTAGTTTATGGCATATAAATAAGTTAATTACCGTCTACTGCCATTGAAATATAACCCATTTGGCAAATTAGTGCAGTATGTCGCATGATTTTTTGCTTGGGTAGGCAATTCCTTGCTTGCCCTGCCTAGACCTCTATTTATGCCCTAGGCGAGGCGTTTGGCCATTGCCTAGCGCCTAGGCTTGCCTAAGAACCTCCTAGACACTGCCTTTTACAAAAGATCCTAAGATAATAGGAGTCCTACTTGGCTATGTCCGTGGGGAGGAGTCCTCCATGGATAAGGAGTCCTTCTCTTGAAGGGCATGGCTTATGGTTTTCCTTGTAGATCATTATATGCCGCCCAAAGTGGCCTAGGGAGAAACCGACAAGGGGGTCCTCAGCTCGGCCTACCTGGCCGGGAGTCGACATGGTGAGAGACCCCCTAGCTGGGACACCGTCATTAGCCCCCTGAACCGGTCTTCAAGCTGGTAGTACCTCGGTTCATCCGAGCTGCTCTTGTCTTCGGTCACTAGTCTTCAAACTGGTTCAATGAGAACTGTCGATGATCAAAGTCTTCTTGCAACCGAGCTCCAAAGCATGACTTCATCTGAGGTGACGTACAACACCTCGGTTTTGAAAATGTGGAAGGAGTATGTCCGAGCTGCACGCCAGGAAAGTCTCCCGTGCAGTCAGCCGCTCGCAGTCCGCCTCCACGCCAGACTGCTTCCGGAGTGGTGTGTGTCACCTCGATATTGAGTTGTCGATGTAGACGGCTGCCTTCAAGGAAAGAAATCTTTTTCCCGCCAAGGCGCTTTCCGTGTGCCGATTTTTCGGAAAATATTTCCAATTAGTGCATTGTATTCTCTGCCGAGATAAATAGCCAGTTACCCTCAAGGTGTGTGTCAGCCTGAAGTCTGGTAGGCACGGGAAGGATAACATAAAACTGCTGATCCCAGTAGCCTCGGAGACTTAGGTTGATTTGCCAAATCGACCTGATGATCGAGTTCTCGCTTGGTAGCATACTTTAGGAAAAATGGGGTGTACAATATCTCCCGAGAAGCTGGTCGGGCGTGGTTAGCGTGAGGATCGAATCTCATTGGAAACTATATTGCACTATGAATTTTCTGCATTGAATCGTCAATGCAGTAGCCCCTGAGAGTCGGGTTGGGAAACTTGGATGACCCGAGAATTGAATCTCCTCGTGAACTAGCTTCAGCCAATAACCGACGTTTTCGCTTCGCCATCACCGAGGTGTAGCTCGACAAGGAAGATGCCAAACTGCGGGCCAAAAAAATCAACACAGTACCCCTCGACCAAGAAGATGTCGTGCCTCCTCCATAAAAAGTGACACAATAGGTTAACAATGTCATAAGCTCGGTAATAACAATACAACTTACATAAGAATGAACAAAGCATTAGCACTTAATGAATACATGAACTCCTCAAACTACAGTAATCACTGAAAAGAATCCCAATTATTGTCACCTTGCGGTATGCAGATCATAACTCATAATAGGTGTCTACAACTTGCAAGATCGGATCAATAACA